CCGATGATCGCCACCCGCCGCACCATCGCGCCCTGCACCGGGGCGAGAAAGCGGCTGTCGAGCCCGTAGGGTGGCACCCGTGCCGGGCGCACGGGGCTGCATACATGCCGAGCCACGCTGTCACCTGCAGGGACAGGGCCACCTGCCTCCTCCTCCTTCCCAAGCTCAGCTCGCCAGGCTCCTCAGTAACCTCGGAGTTGCCCTCTGATCCGAGCTTACCTGCTTCCCACAGCCTCCAGACACGTACGCGAGAGTTTCAGGCAGGGAGGAAAACCTGCTGCTTCCCTGGTACCTCCAGGCACTCGGAGAAGAGATCGACGTGCAGGAGGAGTTTCCCTTCTAGAAGAAAGGTCTTTTATGCACCGCAACACAGGAGGCAGGGCCAGAGCCAGGAGGTTGTTTCAGCGAGTAATTTGTGCTGTTTGGACTTTAGCAACCCTGCAGGTGTAACATGAGCAGGGCCCGTGGGCTCCAAGTGCTGAAATTAGGAAACGGAGCATCGGAGTGAAGTTATTCCAAGATTGCGCCCAGAGTCACAGAGCAGCAGCAGCCTCTGGCCAGTCGGACTAGCGGTGCCCACACGCTCAGACCCCATCCGAAATCACACCACGGTGCCCAGGGCGTCAAGAGCAGCGGGTAGAGCCAGGCTACGCGATCTCCCTAGCTCCCCTCCCAGTGCTGTGTTTACTCCCTGGCAAAGAGAGGAGCTGGTGGTGCCCACCGTGACAATCCAGTGGTGCTGGCGAGTCCCACACCACCCTGTTTGCCCTCTGCTCCCCCCTCACCTCGGGCAGGTATTCAAAAATTCCTAAGTAAAATTAGAAATATTAAAGTTTCTAATGACACTAAAGGCAGTTCTGGCCAACATCTGCAAAATTACACTTTGCTTTTCATCGTATGCTACAGAAAAACAGCAACAGGAGGGAGCTTTCAACCTCTGAAAGAACAATCAAGAAAAAGTGGCTTTGCCTACAAGACACTTCTTCCAGCCTGAAACACTGTGCTGGGTAGTCAGCAATTCTGACCCATCAGTGCACCTGATCAGTCAAAGAGGACATTTGCCCAGCAACCAGCAGCTCCCCTGTACCTGGAGGTGACACTAGAGCAGCCGCTTGTCATGATCACACAACACTGGCAGTCTTGGTGCCTGCATGGGATGGTGTGGGACAAGCAGGCATGCAGATAGTCTCCTCTGGTGACAGATGTGCTGGAATCAACACAGGGCAACAGCCACTGGGGCTAGAAGTGGCTCTGACTTGGGCCAGACACAATTTACAGGGCCATGTGGTGCCTGTCCAGATTGTGGCCAAGATTTCGGCAGTAGCTGGGTGTAGCTTTACACCATGGCAACAGCAGGGTCTTTTCCTGACTGGGATAATTGTGATAGCATTTCTGAAAAGTCATGGCACGCTTCATATATCAAGGAAGAGTTTGCCTCATCTCCACACATCAGTGATGTGAATCTCTTGGGAACTCTAGCACAAATGGCTCCACCAGCTCTTACTCAATACAAGATAGTCTTTGCTCCAGTGACAGCTGGCATAGCGTTTCCTCAGTTCTGAATTCCCCATCTTTTTTGTAGGTCTCACAGGGTGATTAGGGCATGACGACATGAATCTTACTGGTGACAACTTGCAAGGACAGGAAACATAAGAGCTTTACAACACATTTTCCATTTTTGAGGGGGGAGCCATTGTTCTCATTTCCTGAGCTGTGGCAGTACCTGTTCACAGCAGTAAGAGTAGCCCCATGAAGAGAGCAGCAAAAGATCATCCCTTCCTTGGTCATGACAGTTATCACCAGCAGCCTGTTCAGAACCTCTGGAAGGTCCCTTTTGCCATGGGCTCTCTCAGCTCATTGAGGCTCCTCAGGAGCACCTCCTGGCATGGGGATGTACCAAAAGGCCTTGGCACTACAGCAGCCCTCAGCATCTTTGGCCTTTGGAGCCCCCCAGCACTGTAATCAGCCTTGGGACACAAGTGCTTCATGAGAAGTTCGGCTCCAGAGCCAGCAACCCTCGGGGGCAACCAGGACAAACAGTGCTGCTGTCGCACATGTGTGCCCAGGTTCAGGGTTACAATGAGCATGCATGTGAGGTAGCAGGCAGCTGGAATAGATGGAAGATTCTTACCATATGCTGTTGGCAGGGAGATAACTTCTCATGAAGCACTTGTGTCCCAAGGCTATCTCCCTGCCAACAGCATATGGTAAGAATCTTCCATCTATTCCAGCTGCCTGCTACCTCACATGCATGCTCATTGTAACCCTGAACCTGGGCACACATGTGCGACAGCAGCACTGTTTGTCCTGGTTGCCCCCGAGGGTTGCTGGCTCTGGAGCCGAGCTCAGAGTGGGTATTCATTAACCAGAGGGCAAGGGTTGTCAGAGGATGCTGGCTGAAACCATGGAGACCTCACTGGAGAGGCCAAACCGTGAAAGCTGAATCCACAGATGGGAACAAGTCAGTGAGGGACAAACTATAGCTAATGCAGGGCAAAGCTGAGCAAGCCTGGCAGGAGAAAATACACAACTCTGCCACAGGGCTCACCCCTGGCCACCTGGGGTGCTTTCCCAGGGCTGCTTCCCCTTCTTCATTGGCCCCAACAACAAGAGATTCTTGGACCAACCAGCAAGGCCAGTGCCCTCCCACATCAGTGACCCAGGTGGAGCCTGGCAATGGGTCCCTCGTCCCATGCAGGACACACTGACAGCCTGTCAGTTGCGGTGCTGCTCTCCCAAGATGCCTGGTCCTGGGCTCAAATGCAGTCAGACCTTCCTAGGAAGCACCATATCCTCGAGGGGTTGGGGCAAATTGAGGAACATCAAGGAAAAATGCAAGCCATGACCATGGCAGATCCTGGTGCATCCTGTTAGCTCTTCCCTGGGCTGGAGCAGAACAGCAGCACAGGGCAGCCCTCCACAACTGACGCTCCTCTTAATCTTCCTACTTGTAGCAGCAGCAAAGAAGAAAAATCCTCCAAACTGCCAATTTTAGTCCCATCTAGGCTTTTGGCAAAGGCTCCCCTAAACACCATGCTGACCAGCCATAGCAATGAGAAACGCTTGCCAGTAAAACAGCACTGTGACCCAGGCAGCAGCTGGGGGAGGACTGCTCAGCACAGTCCCTGGCTCCCTCCAGGGATGTAGAGCTATTTCGGATGCTGGAAGAGGCACTAAACTCACTGGGAAGGGCTGTGGTGGAGCAGATTGGCTCAAGTGTTCCTCTAGGCTTCCTGATAGGTTGGGCAATAAACATATCCTGTACAGCACTACTTGTCCTTCAGCTGCTGGATGCAGCACAAGGCACGCAGCAAGAGCCAGATGTTTCCCCAAGGAGCATTTCAGTCTAAACAGCTGGGAGGAAGATAATCTTTCAGTATACCAATGGGAATAAGTCCCAGCATAGCACCTCGATCACAATCATCAGCCCCCCCAGCCAGCCAGGAGATGCGCCCAGTCAGCCCTGAGCAGCCTTCAGCCTCAGCACCTCCTCGCTCTGGCTGCTGAGCCGCCTGCGGGAGGACGAGTGCCCAGGAGCCCACTCTGAGCGCCAGCTCCTCGTGCCAGGAGGCTCCGCTCTGATCTCCGCCGAAGCACAAAATCCAGCGAAACCGCAACATGGCATCCCAGCTGCAGCTGGGGTCCAACTCCGTTCACAGCAAAACATGAACAAAACTTCCCACAGGCGCCGTTGCCTCGCTGGGGGAATCGATGGGCTCAGCAGCCCCAATGCACAAAGGCGCTCCAGCGGGACAAACAATTGTCCTCTCCTCCAGCATCCCTCTGGCTCCATCAACTCCTCTGATGTGCAGTTGCATTGTTCGAGCCTCTTTGAAGTGTCAAATAAGAAACATCCTGCGTGGCTCAGCTGAACCCTGCAGAAACCCCAGCAGCATCCTGCCAGCCAGGATTCACTGTCAGGCAATAAATCAGCAACTGGAGTTACAAACATCCAGTAAACAAGAGCATTCACCTCACATTTGCTCTA